GTGAAATGCTTCCCTCTCTCCTGATAAATATCGTTCTTTGCATCCATTGCAGTGTTTTCTCACCAATATAGTGCTGTGAAATTGGCTCTAACACAAGACAAACAGCTGCAGTGAGGTGTGTGCTGCTTTAGATGTGATCCATTTCAGGAGGTGTCAGACTTGTTTCCTGTGTATGGAATCCCTCCTGGCACACCGGTGAGTTTCACATTCGACAGCAGGAGGATACGTCTATGGAGGATACAATGCAATCTCTGTTTCAAAGAAAACAGCAGTGTCTTTCATTTGACAGATATTTCATCAGAGCATCATCAAGGAGTGATGCCTTTACTTCAAAAAGGCTTTCCAGTAGGGGAAACACCACTACTCACTAGCTTTAAAGCAATAGATAGGTCTTTTATTAACATTAGACAGTAGACAGTGAGTGTGAGTCACCGCTGATGTAAGAGAGGTTTCTCCCATTTTTAGCTACATGGGTGTCAGTGTGTAAAATGTCATTCAGTGGGTCGCAGATATATGTGTCAACATGTCTAGCATCCAGTGGATCTGAACAGACTCATTATCAGCTCTGATTACATGTCATTACCATCACAGGAGACACATATGTTTTTCAGAGGAAGACAGAGACAGTGATGTTTGAAGTGCAGGTAAAATTAGATATATTTGTACTGTTTTTAGCTGCTTGCTAATTATTGAAGCATCATGCTGGTACCACTGATGGTGTTCCCACTGTTCGGGTCGGGTTTGATTATTCTCCAGTCTATTTGGATCAGCTATCTATTATTATGCATGTTGGGTTTAAAATGGTCTTCTGGTCAAGTACCAAACTTTACTTCTGGAGGACTCTACTGGAAGCATTATGCGACAAAGTCCAACGTGACGAGAAATAAAAGCAGCCAATGTGATCAGACGGGTTTTAAGAAGTGAACAGTTTAGTCACTGAGTATAAAAAAACACTTTATTTAGAAAGTGAGAAATCTCTTAAATAATATCTGACTACCAGTTAACTTTGTGTGCTTAGTTTTAGTTTGTTTCTCTTATAAAATATCTTTTTGTCAAATTTGATGAAACTGTCACTGTATCCACAATCTGAAAAAAAAAAAAAAAATCATGACTTGCGAACTGGTCAAGTTTGTAAAAAACACTCCTGTGGCCCTGCTGTAGAATGAGTGACTGACATACAGCTACTTAACAGAGAAAGCTAACTAGCTCAATAACATGGCCAAACATAGGTATGATGCTGAATATATTAAACTGTGTCGACCTTGAACTAATGACTAAGGAGAAATCCGGAAATGTGGCTGGACCAGCCAGGAACCACTGTTTTAGTGTACTGTTTTGCTGTAAAGTGAGAACTTTTGTGACCCATCTTGGAAACAATTGAGCTGAAAACAAAGCACCGCTCACCTGCCAGGTCACATATTATCTCATTTTACAGCTAAACAGTACACTAAATATTTCTGAAAACATTTGAGGCGAGAAGTAGGCAATGCAAACTGTGGTGGACATTTATAAGGTACAGTTTGGATATTAATTTAAAACATGTTTAACCATCTGAGTGCTTGTCCTTTCAACAGTTGGACTCTTTTTTTAGCCTTGTTCCTTAACAATTCCTGCAATAAGAGTTATGTTTACATTTACTCTTTCTTACCAAAATTTATTGTGTGTATTCTTTAGGTCTAACGAATCGTATGTTCTTCTTTACAAAACATTTTCAAAACTGATTTAAAACCAAAAAAAGAAAGCTACCCTGTTTACATCCATGTTTGCTAGCTAACAGTCTTTCTTGTGTTTTGCTTGCAAATTAAATGTTTCTTTACTGACACCAGCTTTCAATCAGTTAGATAGTGTGAGACCATCTGCAGGAGTGTGTTAGTCAGATTAGATACAGAGAAGTGTTATGTATTAGAGTACAGTCTCATTATTACTGGTAGAAAAGATGGCCACTAATATACAAAAATAAGATCCAGATTATAATAAACCAAATGATCCACTAACCTGCCAGTTTCAGTATTGCATGATTTTCTAAAAGATTTTTCAGATATTTTTCTACGATTGGACAGAAAATATCAGGTATTAGCAGCTTTAATCCAAAAATATCAAATTAAGTCTTTTGGTCTTACACAGTCTCAGTAAAGCTCTGCCATCCACCTGCATCTGCGCTGTATTTATCCAAGCATAACAGCCTGTTCGTTCTTTATTTAGTGCCCAGCATTTCCACTGTCAGCACATTTTCTCACTCCTCTTCCTCTTTTTCAGGTGCTGGTTTGGCACACTCGCACAGAGAAACCACACCTTGCAAATGAGCCCAAACATCGGAAAGACACTGTGGTCATCGAGGTGTGAGAGGAAGAGCTGAGCAGCGGATCCATAACCAGACGCTGATTGTGGCTGCCCATCATCTCTTGGCTGGGACTTACCACAGCACCCTGCTTCCTCTCCTTATGGGGTTAATACAGTCTGTTGAAAATGGACATGGACTCTGAGGAGCTGCATGATTCAAGACTTCTGGCTGTCTGTCAAACGTGCTTTGTGAGAACTGGACAACACTGAACATGTTTGTTTTTCAAACTGGGATGACTTGGACTGTTCATTTCCTCCATCCACAGCTTGTTAATGTGAAAAACTAAAGTATAAATGTTTAAAAAATACCATGTTGCTGAACTGGAAAGTGCCACGTGAATAATTAATGTCATTTTAATCATTAATACATCATTGTCAAATTAACTGTGATTCCGTGATATAATTATCATACAAGCAGATCATGCCTGTATCTTATGGCAGTGGTATTGTGATGCTGTGTCTTTCACAGCAGATAAGAAGACTGATAGCAATTTCATATCTGTGCATCAAGTACGAAGCTGGTATCGGGATGCCGTTAGCATAAAGCTAGCTTAGCAGGAAGACTGTAAACAGCTAGCCTGGCCCTCTCAAAAGTTTAAGAATATGCATACCAGTACTAGCACATACTGTATTAAGACACTTTATCTTGTGCATTCATCCCAATGAATGTTTATAAAGATGGACGACATGACCACTCCGTGTATTATTAAAGAGGACTGTATACTGTGTTGGAGGCGGGGCCCCGTTCATACCTATGAAGTGGCTCAGTGTCGCGTGAAGTCGAAAAATTTCAACTACCGCTCATAAAATTACCCGGATTATCGGGACTGCTTCTGCACTGTGTGGCCCAGAGAGCAGGTGCACCAGAGACTCCACCAGCTGAGTCGGCTAATTCCACTTTAGCACTTTGCTAAAGTCATGCAGCTCTGCTAGACTTCCAAATGTTATTGGAATAAATGGATCAAATTCTGATAGTGAAATGAGACATTAAGTGGTGTGATACTCAAAAATTGTATTCGCTGATACACAGACTTCTCTTTCGCCATGTTAGTCTATGGGGAAAAGTATTTTTGGGATGCATGGTTATGGTATGGATGTAAGTCCACTGTTTGGCCACTATGAAAATGGGCTTCAAAGCCCAGGGCACTTCCTGGGGGCACGAACAGCTCCCCAAAAGTAAAGCTGAAACATCTCAATCCCTCCCTGGTGGCTGGCTGAAGTAAAGGTTATAACCTTGCCCCCTCTATGTTAGCACGGGCCAAACTAAAAGCTCGAAGTACACGTCAAATAAGGTGTTCCCAAAGATGGTTTCTGTCATTTTAGGTAGTTCTAAACAGGCTGTTGTTTGTTCAAGTGTTCATTTTTCTGATGTGTGGTTTTAATTGGTTATTTAACACTATAAAACGGGATATGACGTTATGATTGTCACCTGTGTTTGTCAGTCAGTGTGCTTGTGATCAGTGGTGCTGCTCATGATTGGGTCAGATCAGTGTACGGGTGGAAACTCAATATCGCGGCTCCACTTCCTGATGGCTACTGAGCAGACTCTGGCTCCGAAAGCACAAGATGGCAGCTGCCATATCTGGGATATTTTGGCTTTATTTTTATACAGGGGAAAGAAGTGGAGACATGTTTACTATATTTATACAGTCTGTGATTTAACCTGTATATAAACAGAAATTCAAAACTGACAAATTGTGGTTTTAGGGGAAGTTACTTAGTGTAACACGTTCTTTGGGAGCAACAGCTAGGTGCAGCAACAGTGAGTCAGACATGCTGTGCAGACGTACTGATGGATAAACTGGTGTTCACCAAGAAGTATCTGCAGCATGTAAATTTCCTTTAAAATAAAAAATGTGATTTTAATATTTCAAATTCTTCATGTTTTAAACAAACTAAATACAGTTAAAGGGGCTGACAAATGGAGTTAGAGAGAGAGCCAAGCTAGATGTTTCCCCCTGCTTCTGTCTTCATGCTAAGCCAGGCTTAACACATCCCAACTCCAGCTCTGTACGCACATGAAATTACATGTTACATGTTACAATAACACCTCTCTCACTGAGCGAATTAAAATGTTTGAAGGGATTTTTTGCATCAGTTTTTTCACTCCTTTCATCATCTGCCAACAGGTCCTCTTCATGTCTTCATAGCTGTAAATGCCAATCAGTGCCCACTTCCCCAGATCATGTCTTTGTTTGAATTAATCACACTGATGTGTCATGGTGATGATTTATTGATGCATAAATGCTATGTAATTCTCTTTTAAATCACTCAAAACTGATTGTGTGTATTGAACTGGAAGGACCTTTGCTGTCCTCTCATCTTGTATGTATGCAATCAGGTTTGGAAGCGGCCCGCGTGAAGTAACAAGTGACGTCTCTCCTGACAAGCTGCCATCAATAATGTAGAGTCTGTGGGCCGACAACAAAGAGAACTCGCCTCACAAGTAAACGCACTTGCCAGCGGTGGAATAAAAAGGCATGAGTTGAGTAGACAGGATATAAACAGCGCATCAGACGGGCGGCTAGTCTCACAGCTCAGATGTGAAAGAACTGTTTTTTTTTAGTGCATTTTAACGGCAGTATTGTCCTGATCGCTGAAGTTTAGAGGGCACTGTGTAGGTGTATGATGTAAACACAGGAAATAGAAGCAAGAATAACTCCAGGACTCAACAGCTTTTATTTCAAATGACCCTCTTGTGGAACAGAAAAAAGGAGCAAACATAAAACTCCCAAATGATAAAACAGTACTTTAACAGTTAAAAGAGTCATTAGACAAAGATGAACACAGAAAAAGTTCCTGGATATTTTTTTTTTTAATGCACGGAAACCACTTTTCTCTGTACTAGGCACCAGAAAATGTAAACACATTGGAAATAAACCTGGAGGACATTAGATTTATTGTTAATGTGTCGTTCACACTCGCCACATGTGTGTAAGAGAGTCTTACAGTTATTGCATGGCAGAGGTACCCTGTGTATACGGACATGAATCTCTGCGTCGGCATTCGGCAGTGTGGTCTTAACTCTGTGTGCATACGTGTGTGCATCTGTTTGTTCATTTCAGCTCTTGCTCCTCTTTTCTTATTCTTGAAAACAAGGACTGGACAGTGGTGATGGGACCCATCCAGTGTTTTCATACAGGTCCTCTTTTGCTAGCACTGTCCAGTCCTGTTCCTCCCCCACCGTCCTGCCAGTCTAGCCTTCTGATTGGTCATCCAGGTTTATTTGCTTCAGACTAACTGTGCTTCTCTTGTACTGCACACAACAAAACACCACAATAAAGATGGCGGATGGCAGAACATACCGTTATAGCGTCATATATGAAGGGAGCAACATTTTACGTGCCAGTTTTTAGAAAGAAAAAGATTGTGGAAATCCCATCTTGCTGTTGGAAGTGAGCTGACAGTTCACTTATCTCTGCTGTTCCCCGACAACGATCTGAGAGACTAAACCACACCACAGCGGGAGATACAGTACGGTACCTGCTCTGCTATTTAAAGTGCAGTAAAGACAACCCGCTGTGATTCCAGTGGCGCTTTATTTTGCCTAGGGGAGCGCAGGAGAAACGGCTCATTTCAACAACAAGGTATGTCTTAACTGGGTCGGAGCCCAGGTTCCACTGAACCCAGCTCGTTAGGTTTTAAAACACATCAAAACACCACAGTGTGGCTACCAAAGACACCCAGGGGACCCAGGGGTGCTCAGAAATCACTGGGGCTTAGAGGGAATCCTTTGGGTTGTTTTAACCAGCTCGCAGTGTGAGACACAGAACTGGACAGAGATATTAATAAGCCAATAAAAGTCTGATACTGGATAACTGATCAGATTATGTTTGCACAGCCAGTGTGGTGTACATATATCAGTGGTTCCCAACCTTTTTGGGCTTTGAGTCTGGATTGTATATCACCGTAATGATCAATAATCCAATATTATCGATGGAAAGCGAAAAGAACAATACATATTATCTTTAAGATATGCCTTTATTTTGAAATTCCCATGGCATGCGTGTGTCACCATTTCTGTCCAAGTACACCTCTTTCCTAAACGTTCAAACAATGCTAGGTGCCTGGCGGCAGGTGCACAATGGTAAGCAGCCAAGAAAAAGGCAATGAGGATATTTACTGTTCCTGTTAGTTTCATATTGAATTAACTCGTATGGTGACAGACTCTGTGATATCAGCAAAAACTGTATTGTTGTCCAAATAATATTGTATTTTGATAAAACTTGTGCTTTACACTCCTCTCACAGGCTTTTTTTTAAATTTTTTATTTTTTTTATTTTTTGGATACAGCCAGGCTAACGATGCTACCTGAGGTGTACATAGCCAATGTGGCCGTTTATACCCAGGTGTATATATTCCTGGGTGTCCTGGCAACATTTAAGTATGACATTAACTTGAACAGGTGTATTCAGCCATACACAGTGTGCATTCTGCTGCTTTATACATCATAAAAAGTAAAAATATTAAGTCTAAAAGTCTAAAAATAAAAAGGGAACATTGGAATCAGAGTCTCATGGGTGAAAGTCCTGTGCTTGACCCATTTATCCACCACACCTTACTCTCTCTATAAACTGTGTCACTCTTTATACAACGCCACCTGACTTTCTGGCACTATATTTGTACGTTTTTCTCGTGTAAATTCACCACTTCACCAATACACCAATCTCAGAGAATATCCGAGAGTGGCTGGCACGAGTCCTAAACATGACTTCTTTGCCCTAATGCTAAACCCTTCCAACCATGATGCATCAACTTGATTAGTACTAGCCAATCACAGCACGCAGTGGGAACCACAATAACGTGTCATAGGGATTGGTGTAAGTAGCTGAATAGCTGCAGTGTGACTGTTCTCACCTGAGTGCAAGTAGGGAACTTCTGGGCTGTATCACCTGGCCTATGTTGTGACCCCCTGTCACAGTTTGAATATGTCTATGAGTCGGGAGAAGTTCGAAGAGTCATCTTTCCATCAGCCAATGTTTAACTTGAATAGTTTTCCTACAAGGCCTTTTTCTTTTAATCATATTTCCAATTTTAATGATCTTGCCTACCCTCAGGTGTATATTCTGACCCAAGCTAAAGGTTGGGAACCACTGGTGTATGTGATCTTTCCTATAGAGCTGCTCCGTGGTACACTGTCTGCTATGGGGGGAAAACGTAACCTCAAATGGATGTAATGAGACACTGTTATGTTTTCGAAGTCTTTGTGGGAAAATGGTCAGATTACGTGACAATGATTCAGTGAATCAGTGCAAAATAACATCTACTGTATAAGCAGCATTAAACCCATGTCAGTCAAACCCCATTTAGCAATGCTAAACTCCACAGGATGCTTTAAACTGGAGAACCTCATCTCCAGACCCCCCCCCCCCTCCCCCCCCCATGGAGTGATGAAGAGAACTCAAACCAAACAAAGTCACTGAGAGTGGAAGCATCAACCTCTCTCCTATGGCTCTGAAAAAGTGGGAGGTTCACATCATAATCACATAAATACAGTACTGTTCAGACGACTATCTGCTACGGGACTCTGCTCGCCCCACAGAAAGGGGGAGGGGGAGAGGGAGGGGGAGGGTTACAATATACACAGCAGAGAGAGGGGTGAGGACATGGTAGCAACCACAAGATAGCCATATCTACTGTAGGTATTGAAAGACTATTCACTAACTATCCATTTTGGTAATGATATAATATTACTATAATAGACACTTGGAGTTATTGGTCCAGCAGCTCTCTTTTCTGTCGATTTCTGTCTCTTTCTTCAGACAACAACAACAAAAGGAAATCAAAAAGGAAGAGGTAAGCTGAATAACGATGGGGAACAACAGCTGCCAGTCTTTCTTTTTTTTCCCACTCCATCCAGTGTGATGTCATCTTGGCTTTTAAAGGAACCATGGTGAAGGTGTGTAGGGTTTGAGGGGAGGCAGTCAAACTACCCCCACTGTGTGTTCTTCATTCTGTGAGGAGATGGGTGGGTCAGGAGCTGTTATGGCTATTTCCTTGCCATATGACTGCCCTCCGTCCCCCCCTACCTTTCCTCTGGACCCAATTCTTGTCACTTCCACAGCTGAGTGCTGAGGGTCTGGCCGGAAGCTGCTGGTGGAGCCGCAGGCCAGCCAGCCGCAGGGGCCCCTGACTGGGTGAAAGTGGCTGGCGCCGGCCCTCCACCACTCACAGCCATGCCTGACATCTGCTGGGTCATCTGGGGGTGGAAAAGAAGGGAGATAGAGGAGGGAAGTCAGTGTTCGAATTCATCAGAGCTAAAGTAGGCAGCTACTCCCTCCTCCCTGCCTCTGGGAGGAGGGAATAGCTGACTCCCGGGCCTCCATTCCTCGCTTTTTACCTTCGCCTCTGCTCTTAAAGGCTCAGGGCTTCCCCTGCTCCCTGCCCTCTCCCCACTCTTCTCTCTTCACCTCCCAGCTCCTCAACACCCCGCCCCATCCACCTCCTCTGCTCCCCTGCTTGTCCTCCTCCTTCCATTCTGCCTTATCTATTATGAATGTGCTTTGGTGCAGCGCAACTCGCTTATCTGGTCATCCGAGAGCTATGGGTGAGTGTGTGTGTGGTTATGAATGTGTGTCACCCAAGCCCGGACATACGTACATACATCTTCCTGCACAGTACACACACACACACACACACGCACACACACACACACACACGCACACACACACACACACACACACCTAGTCATCCACCTCCCACTTTGTCTGTTCAAGGTGGTGTGTGTGTGTGTGTGTGTGTGTGTGTGTGTGTGTGTGTGTGTGTGTGTTTGTATGTGTGTTGGTGGTGATTTATGATCTCTCATTAACCTCCCAAGATGTCAAAATGCTGACAACAGTTTGGAGCTCCGAGTGCAACTACACACACATACTGTATGAAAAGGAGTGGCTTTAGGTGTGTGTGTTCTAGCAGCAGGTAACAGACTAATGAAGGGAAGCTCTTAGACAGATGTGTTGACAGGCCTCCCAGTATTGATCCAGTGTAAAGACAGCGGAAGTCCTGATGTCAACATGTTTGGGCAAATTAAATTACTTTAACATGAATCATATCTGTTATTAAATCAGAAATCAATGTGGTCATTTTGATTATGCAATACAGTGTCGCCACCAAGGGTACATGCAGCACGTGCTGTGCACCAGTGCCGGAAGGGGGCACCAAAACAGCCCAACAGGATTATCATCGATCACAATTTTACGTATTGCATTAACTTTTCCAGTTAAGGTCCTCTCAGACACAGCACAGTTTGAGCCCCACTGCCGATGGTTTCAGTGAACACAGCACATGCAAAATTACCATTGGATTCATGGCACATGTGCACCAGCTGATTTCATGCCTATGTTGGTAAATTAGAATCATACTAAACTGAATGGCTCGTGCCCACTACTTGCAATCATCATGCCAAACTGCAACGCTCCCATTTCTCTATACCATTAAATATCATACCATGATATGAGGTGTATCATGGAGAAGGTGGTGAAGTTATACACACAAATAAAGGTCCTGAAACTCCAGTGTCAGACCATCAGTGAGCATCTGTAAATGTGATTGCAGTCGATAAGCCATTAATTACTCTTGTCAAAGTTCAATCTATCTATTATATCTATTATATACCCTGTTAATACTCATAACACTTAAACACAGTTAAAATACAATAACAATAATAATAATAATAATATAATGAAAATAACAATAACAATAATTTTGACAGGCAGATTCAATAAAAACAATGAAAACCAAAACTGTTACATTTTGATATGGTCACTCTCATAAACTCCACAGTAAGCTGGACTGGGACACATATCTTAATTATGACAATAATTGATGGGGATAAAAGGCCAAGGATGAAATAAGTGCATGCATTAATAAATTATTCAAATTAACATGTTTAAATATTGTCCATTAAAGCCTTTTTAATGAATGCAGTTTTAATATTCTATGCATTTAGTTAAAAGGTGTGTCTACATTTTATAAGACAGTTGGGCCCTCATCACTTTGTATATACACATGGTCTGAGGCAGGTCTAAATTCGTTCGCAAATTACGAAAAAAATTAGGCAAGAAAAAATGTTTGTAAGCATGGTTTATGCACTCTTTGTTTCTGTTAGCGCAAAGTCACAATGATTCAGTCTATTCATTTCTCAGTTTTGCCATTCTGAAGGATTGAAGAATGAAGTGCACAGCTGCAACCTCAGACAGTTTACCTGCAGCTGAAGGATCAGAAATTAATTAGTATACAAGTTACAGTGCAAACTGTGTAAGATCTGATTTCATTCCTCTCTTGATGGTGACCAACAGACTACTTAAATATCCACTTAGCTTTAACTCACCTCAGCTGATGTTTTTATTAACAGTGTCATAGTTGCATTTGGGCTTAATGATAAATGTCTTCTTTAATCAAATCATTAATTGGTAGCACAGCTTCACTCAAAGTCCTCTGAGGCAAATGTGTGATATCAGGCTATATAAATAAAATTAACTTGACCTTGAAAGCTTACTCTATAAAGATTAGTGAGTTTGGTTTGTAAACTGGGATGAATTGAAGGTTCTGAAACTTGCCGAATCAGACTGCAAAGGATCAGCTAAATCTCATCTGTAAATGATCTGGCTCCAATTGTGATCAGATCCAGCTAAATAAAGCTCATTTAGCAGCTTCGCTTACCTTTCCACCAGGTGTAAATGTGGCATATGAGACAGTTAATGAATGTCAAACAAGGACAGAACAGATTGACTCGCTGTAACTAAAACACAGCTGGTTTACTCTGTAAATACACTCAGCTAGTACAGTCTGTTAACTCTGTTTGTTGCAGCTGAGAGTCAAACAAGGAATAACTGAGGTGGGAAATACAGAGCCAGCCTTCACTCCTGGGCTTTGTTCGTTTCAAATCAATCACAGACATCAGATGTGTCATATCTGAGCTGGGCAACACTGACTGCAGCAGATTAGATTTTAACTAGAGGACCGATTTCTGCTCCATTGTGTATACCAGTCCACTCCTGCTGGCTATGGTCAAATGTTTAATTACTGGCTATCAAACTGCAGACCTGGACATGATCAGGAATAATAATAGACTTAATCACAGGATCAAAGAAAATTCCTTCCCATTTTTTTTATAATAAGACAATATTTTACCCCACCCTGTCATGTGTTACTCTCAGCTAGTTATAGGTTTTAAAATCTCTTAAAGGTTTTAAAAACTGTCACAGCTCCCCCTGCATCAAAGAATCCCTCCAAATGTTGTGTACTCTCTAATCATTTCATGGTACTGGGCTGGATTTAGAGGCTAGACTAGGGACAAGAAAAAAAGACTTGACAGAATTCAAGAAAAATCCATTATATTTCATACAATAACCTTGGTTATAAAACAGATTGAGTAGTTGATTAAAGCTTCTCTTCATGGGCTTTTAGAGAGGCTGAAGGGGTGAGGTCATTACTGCACTGGGCTTTGCAAAAAATTAAGGAGCAGAACACTGTGTAAGACCATATATTAACTTTCAGGACCAGGTTAATGGAACTCTTTGACATGTGGTGTGGAGGAAAAAGATGCTATATTTATGACATTTTTATCCAGGTTAGTGAAAATACAGTAAACATGTAAGTGTGCATCATAAAAGATTAATGTGCAGAGAATCTGGAGTGGGATTATGGTCAACTAAATCATAAAATGAGTTCATTACTACCATAAAATGAATTAAGTACCACCACTCTGAGTGTGTCTTAGTTGGATGACATACAGTGTATATGTCTGTTACCTGGCTCATATTCCACTGTCCTTGCTGCTGTCCTTGCTGCATGCTATACATGTTCTGTCCTTGGTTGGCTGGCATCACACCCTGCTGCTGCATGCCCATGTAGCTGCCGTTAGGCAGCGCCATCCCAGGCATCATGGCCCCTCCGCCCATCATGGTGGTTGGTGGGACAGGTCCGCCCATCCCTGGAGCAAAACCCTGCGGAGTGAACGGCATCTGAGGCTGGCCCATGTACATTCCTGCTGGAGCAAAAAACAGGCACACAGAGTTCTTCATGTGAACTTGCCTACTGCTGAGAATATTTTCAACTAAACATAAGAGAGAACAGAGCTGTGCTGAAGTAAAATAAACAGATTTCCAGAATCAAGTTTTGCTTTGATTTACTAGGAAATGTATGAAAATGATTAATTTAAGGAGTAAATAGCTACTCCTTAAAATCCAAATATAAGAAATCCTGAGGATACATCAAAGTTAAAATGTTCATTACTCTTTAAAACACCCAGTATGGCCACTACAACCAAGACAAGGAGGTCATGTCTTTGTTTGTTGGTTTGTCTGTCTGTTTGTCATCAAAAGTATGCAAAAACTACTGGCCAGATGTTTCTAAAAGTCGGTGGAAGGGTGTAGCATGGGTCAAGGTAAAACTGATCAGAATCAAGGATCTGGTGGTCTTAAAATGACCCACCTGACAAATAGCAGCAAAAATTCTTTGATGTTTGGGTGTGTTATAAAGTTATAATCCTTAATAATGTCATTATAACACAACCCAGTTTTATACCATTTATGGTCTGCATCCTTTTTTTTAGTGGCGAAGTCCACCATTTTTGCAAGGTTCAAGTTTGGGGATTCATAGAACCCTATGCAGCATGTGGTTAAACCTTAATGTTAGATTTTTATCTTATTAATAGAAGTCTCATGGTTTACATTTCACTCTCCTAATGCAAACACAACAGCTACTTCACATTAAAAGCATTCACCTGGTATGAGGGTGGCTTTTATTGTGAAGCAGCTATGATAGACAATGCATTTGGCTCCAGCGTTACCCTCTGATGGGTCATATTAAGGATCTTTGTTGTTTACATGCACTTCTAAAATGGACAGTTCCAGTCCTTGATTATGACTGGCCGATGCCATGTTTTGAAGCCCACTGAAATACTGCATAAACACACAGCTGTGACTAAGTTACAATTTCAGTATTGTTGCACCAGTCAGTCACCTGTTGTCATATGGAACGCAGAGCTTAAGAGAGCAACCACCAACTAAAGCACAAATCATTTATCATCCACCAGGACGGTCAGGCAATGATACACAACGCTGTCATTCAATAACTGCAGAAAAAAAACACAAAATGCCACTAAAGAAACAAAAAGGACCTAGGAGGATTCATGTTTGAGCAGTCTTTATTGCTACCCCCAATCCATCAGCCTTTTATCTCCACCCAAAGTGGATAAACTACATCAACTATCAACAGTAAGTTAACAGTATGACTTTAGCTAACTTGCATGTTTTTATTTGTAGCCTATTATGCTCAGTTATGTTGTGAACTGCTAGCGATATCGTTTCTGTTTCAGTGTAGCTTGGTTACTCAGCATGTAACCAGGCTACACTGTAACCAAAATGATATCGCTGGTGAGTGTCAACAGCTCCCAGAGAGTGAGCATAATAATTGCTGATGGTAGATATATATGTGTTTATATTGCTACTGGAACATGATTATTTCTTTTTCTTTCTCTTTACATTAGGTATACCAGAGCCCTAGAGGGTGAACTTATTGGCTTCATGTTGCCACAGATTTCTAAAGTAGCTGGTACTACGCACTGTGTCTGCAGTGCTTGACAACAATTTTGCTAAAATTTGCTGACGAACTACATTGGTGGGAGGAGGAAAGATTATTTGCTACCAGTAAATTATTGCATTTCAGTCAGGAACACTTAAGTCAAAGAAAACTTTATTTCCATTTGCAGTATTATATTTGGCGGTATGGCTCTGTTCTGGGGCCCCTATGCCTTTCCTTGGGCCTATGCAGAAAGCCTCTTCCACGTGCCTACATGGAAAGCATAAGGCGGAGAGAGCACACCTGTCTGCTCTTCCACGTGCAAATGAAGAAAACCTGAGACAGAGAGGCAAACCTTCCTGCCCTTCCATGAGCCTACATGGAAAGCAGCAGCAAAGAACCCCCCAGGAACAGAACAGAGCAGCATCAATGACAAACAGAAATGACACTGATAGGTCAGACACAGCATGAAAAGGAGGAGCTGGGGTGGAAGCGGGTTGCAAAGTGGCTTACAGAGGAAGCAGCAACAGTAGACAGGCTAGAGCAGTTGAAATAGGGCACTCTGAATGAAATTTGTCAATTGGTTGCATAGAAAGGAATCATGTGATGTATGTATGTAAGTATGACTATGACTATCTATGACTCCCTTTCATCAATCAGCTGCTCCATAGTTGAGTGGCTGTTGAAATCAACTGATGTAGCTAGGATGTGAGCTGAGCTTGACACTGTGTCAGGCCTGAACTAACGCTATGCTCAATTTTTTGTTGCTGTGTGTTTATTTGATGAAATGTTGCCAATTATTCAATTAAAATAAACACAAGAAGTTTGTGCTCTAAAAAAAAAAAAAGGATCAGCACTCAGTGAATAACCTCCTAAGCCCTACGATAAGCTATTATGGCAAGGCTTAACTATACAGACCAGTGAGCAGTGATAACTAACATGTCTTTGGGGTCATCGGGTGGGAACCTCCTTTCACCGGTGTTTCGTCTAGTTAGTCCCACGACACCCCCAGGAGGCTGGACAGTGATCTCTGGCGTCCCAGAGACACTCCCCTAATGCCAGGTCTCACTGCTCCCCTCCCCACACTAACCGAACAACCTCCTTTACCTTACCTATACTACCACAGAGGAGGTAGACCCAGGGAAGGAAGCCTTGTTAGGCTATAACACTCCCCAGCCGGGTTAGGCTGTACAGTCTACCTCCCCAAGACGAGCCCTCACAACAATGACACCTCCAGGAGGCTAGACAGTGATCTCAGCCCAAACAGCACTGCCACCTTCAACCAAACCCAGGCTCCGTTTATGCGAGCTCCAGGCAGAAGCAATGCTGATACTACCTTTACTAGCACATTCACCATACTCTATTTCACACGCTACATAGCATAACTACAATGTAAGCTAAAGTTAAAGGAGATAAATGAACTCACAGGATCAGCAAACACACTCACTTTGCAGCATGGTCTCAAACAAAATGGATTCAAATAGGCCACTCCCACACTTAAATAACCTTCCTCTTCCTGGATTTCCTCCTTACTTACACATGGCTTTCTCAGCCCAAACAGCACTGCCATCTTCAACCAAACCCAGGCTCCATACATGCGAGCTCCAGGTAGAAACAGGGCTGATACTAACTTTCCTGTCACATCCACCATACTCTATTTCACACACTACATAGCATAACTACAATATAAGCTAAAGTTAAAGGAGCTAACTGGACTTACAGGATCAGCAAGCACACTCACCTTGCCGCATGGCCTCAAACAAAATGGATTCCAATAGGCCACTCCCACACTTAAATACTTCCTCTTCCTGGATTTCTCCTGACAGGAAGTGGATCTCTCCACCTGATCTCAAGGAGTTATGTGCCCTGCTTAGTAGTTCCCCCTGCTGGCCCCCAGCTGACATTATTTCTTCTGTAATAGATAAACTTGCTGCATTTAATTGCTTCATCTGACATTTCCCTCACTGTCTTCCTCAAACTCTGTCCCCGCACTCCGAGTTCCCCCAGGAGCAAGACAGCTGATCTTGCTATGAATCCCCTACACCCCACTTCTACTGGACAAATCCTAGTCTTCCATCCTCGCTGCTCAGCTTCTGCTCCTAAGTCTGCATATCTAAGCTTTTTTCTTTCATAGGCTTCTTCCACTGAGTCTTCCCAAGGAACTGTGAATATGAAGTAACTGTTTTCAAAAAGCAAAAAGCCACACACATTAAAACATAACACCAAGCAAATTATAAGTTTGCTCCACAGAGCCCATTTCCACACACCAAATGTCAGTGTCATTTTTTATTTCTGCCTCTAAAGATGAATCTGAAGCTGCAGAGCACCATTTTTTCTTGAAAATTTATCACCCATCACTCCATTTGCCCATTAGTGCAACATGAGACCACTGTGAGAAAGTGGTAAGCGGCAATGTAAGACACAAATATATCAGTATTTGTACTGAGTGGAAAAATCTTAAGGAACAGAAATGAGACAGCTTCTTTAAATGGACAGAGTGTCCTCTGATATTAGTCAGCTATGTTGACTGCATGTACAAAATGCCAGAGAATAAAATATCGCTTCTTTTAGCACAATTCCTATCACGCCTCAAAGTTTTTAAAATCCTCAGATTCAATGTGGAAATCCATAAAGGATCCATGGACTGTCTGGAACTTCTGACATTTTCATCATTTTGTTATAAGCTGCACTCAGAGCCACATCCATCCTGTTACAATACACACACACACACACACACACACATACACAGGATGGAAGTCAGTGATTTGAGGCATTAGCCTGGTGAGCTTCTCTTGGCTTTGATCTCCATCAGCATCTATTTGGATTCAGAGAGGACAATAAAGCAGCAGAAAACCCTTCATCCTGATTTCCATTCCTAATCCTCTTTACGTCAGTGTAATCATGCAGCCATATAATCAATATGCACATGTGCCTGCTGCCTACTGTCCACCATTCAGAAAATATGTACCACTAATACTTTCCCACACACTCCCAACATGCTCAGGTTGATGTATGTGCACGTATGAACACCTGCCCACATAAACACACATCAACAGTCTTGGCACTTGTCTTTACACATAATAACTGTGAGATGAGTGTGAATCTGCAGACACTTCTCTATTTTTACTGCTGCAGTGGGACTCCAGTAAGTGGAGCTGCCTGCTTTTTAGCACACTGACCTTTCATCTGCCTTCACTCTCCTCCATTTTTATGATGCATCTTTCCTCTGATGTATGTGTGAAAGTGTGTAGATGTGTGTCTCTGTGTGTGTACAAACACCTACATCTGAGTGTACACTCTTGTGCTTATATTACTGCGTGTGCCCCCCCCCCCCCCACCCGGAGACACTGTGTGTGTATATAGTGTTTGTTTACATTCTACATATGCGACATATTCAAGTGGTTTGACCTGTCAGTCCTTGAACTCAAATAAATGGTAGGTATTGCAAATCCTCTCCTCGGCAACTGCCATTTATTACAACATAAAAATAGTATGTATTCCCCATAACTGGCTTACCAACTTGAGGGGCAAGATCCCCCCCAAGGTGTCACAAGGTAAACCTAAGGTGATTCCAGGGATAGGAAAGAAGAACATATTGTATATCTGCTGTACAAAGTTGTTTGTCTCTCAGATTTTTCTCTATTCTTTACCTTTCTAAAAAACTTAAACTATGCAGGATTGTGAATAATGGCCAGTTCCACCAATTCAATGCTATAAAAGTGGTTAATCAAATCCACCTGAGAAGGAAAAATCATTCTTTGGTTATACTCCTAACAACTCATATAATGGAACTTAAAGCTTTAAGGCTCCCTGAGAGGAACTGCTCAGTGGGGAGCTCCCCCAAGAACTACATACCTTCAAGGGCTTTTTTTCTGTTTGATTTGCACCGCCAGTTGGAACGTCAAAGTGACGCATTATATCCAGACAATGGTTGGTATAGCAATGTCACTTTTCCTTTGATAAGTCAAAATTGCACATTGATGAAGAACTTCAGAACTGAAGAAGCATCTTGGATGAGAGGTGAAACATCTTCAAATAAACTCAAGCAAGTCTAGTTGCCAAGGATATAGCACTTAGGATTTTCCCTTAGCTCTGTTTTGGTTTGCACCAACTGCTGAGGGAAATATCTGGCTCCTCAGCTGCTAAATGCTCTACTTAGTGATTATCTTTTTCTGTCTGTTGACTGGTGCAGACAGTTTACAGCGATTGGTATATTGGAGCTTTTTTTTTTGCACAAAATAGTTGCCTGCCGCTGGACACGAGCTTGATGAGAGGTATGAGAGGGAAGCAAAATAGTAACTGTGTTGTAAAATCAAAACAAAAAAAAAACTGCCAGCGTTCAATAGGTAAGAGGATTCCTGGCGAGGAGGTGGGGCACTGTAGCTGTAAACTGCAGTTTGATCGTCTCGGTTGAGCACTTGAGATGCCAACAGTAGACATTATTTTTGCAAACACATACCCATAAGCCTTTGCACATTAGGGTTATTTCCTGTAGTTGAATGGATTAAAGGAGCATATGCTTAGGAGTTGAAATAAACTGCTGCATTAATTTGATGTGAACAAATTTTAGCTTATCAGTCCCTGAACATAAATATGTCGGATGTAGGATGTACGGACGACAAAGGGTTAATAAAAATGCTGCGTGTGTGTGTGTTACCTTGTCCTGGAACAGGCTGCTGCTGGCTCTGTGGCTGACTGGCCACTGAGCTGCTGGCGTACAGAGACAGGATGGAGTCTTTAGATAAAAGCTTCTTCTCCTCCGCCTTCGTGGTGGTAGTGGTGGAGGTAGAGGAGGAGGCAGAGGAGGAGGTGGAGGGGTCCGCCTGTGGAGGTGCTGTACTGGAACCAGACTGTCAGGGAGACAGAAGGGGGAGGGGATGAAGAGAAATGGCATGAAATATGTATAGTTTCACCAAATATATATTTTTTATGTAGCTTTCTCTTGGTCACCTAATGCACACATACACAGGATAATACAGTGCAGAGTTGTATATGCCAATAATACGGCTGGGTAATTTTCTGATACTAGTAACAATAAGATATATCACGCACATATTTGGCACTGATACCAAAACATTTTTTTAAATACCTTTCAATTATTTTTAAATCCCCTGGAAAATGAAATAAAGATAAAGCGCAGAGCTCTAATTTCAGCAGAGAGAAGCAGTCCACTTGACAAGGCTTATATTACAGACAGGTGGTTCTGCCTATTTTTTTTCCATCATATAGTATATTTTATCATATGTTATTTAGATGTACTGTTTTTCCACCCACTTCCAGTTTAATTTGATGTTGGTGAGGGCTGAAGGATATGGTAAAGTAATCTCATTGTGAGTTTTTTAGACCAATTGTAATTGAGATTCAGTATGAAACTTTTTCATGTTACACAAGCAATAAATCATTCTGTAGTATGACCATCACAACACTAGATACAATCAACATACGATCAGCTCTTTCATGTCAGCCAGGCCTATGTGTTATGATTAATGAGGTGAACTGACGCATGAATTGATATGAATAACTCATTTATTTAGCTACTGAATTGTAAAAAACTTCAATCACAGTAGAATATTTTAATTTGTAACCTTAACTTTATGATTTATATATAATCTAAAAAAAGAACAAAAAATCACTGCAGTACAAAGGGCCAAGAATGAGCATTAATGTATGAAAAATAAATATGAATCTTACTGATCTCCAGTCAGTTACAGCAGTATAACAAATCACACAAACTTAAGCGCATACTGACTATGGCTCTAAAATATTGAGATAACTCGAAGCGTGGTTGTAAACATGTTGTTGACCATTCCGTCTTCAGCTTCCAGACTGTGGTTGGGAAGCACAGGAGAGATTTTGTTTTGCCTCCAGGGCCGACGCTGATGCTCACTTTGGGGTTAACCCCCTACACTTCACCCAGCAGCTGGGAAGCAAAACACGGGAACTTTACGTGGGTCTCGAGGAGCTGCAGTGTTTATTTGTAGCCCAGCTGAAACCTACACTATTCATTTACTACCAGTGGCGTGCACAGACTTTTTGAAGGGCAGGGGTGAAAAGAAAAAAAAGGGCACATACAGCGCATTCTTGCCACTGAAGAGGGCACTAAGTTTTGCGTCTTTTTGAGGGCACTTTAGACATGTTTATATGTTATACAAATGGCACATTATATAGCCTTAAAACAGACTAACTAAACAGACTACTCAAGTTAGTTTGTAGTTAGGATCAGCATCCACGAGAACTGTGTAGATTCAACGTTGGACTGTGAAGAACACACAGAGACATGGATGTATGAAGGAAATAAATCCCTGGGGGGTCTGGAGGTCCTCCCCCAGAACATTTTCAATTAAGTTGATGCCATTTCCTGTATTCTAGTGCATTTTAACACCATATTAGCACCAGATAATCCAAACTGGTTCTGTGAGATATAGTTCTGGCTCGATATAGATCAAAAAAGGGCCCAACATAAAAGTCATTGCAACAGTAATGTTTCATAGTATTTCTTGGTCCTAATAGTCTTCTGGAGTTTAGTGTGTTTTCTTCACCCAAAAAGGCAGTTTAGTGTGTTTTGCCAACCAGGAGGGCACTTTAGCACGCGTTTTGGCTCCAAAGAGGGCACTTTAGCGTGTGTTTTGGCTCCAAAGAGGGCACTTTAACATATGTTTTGGCTTCCAGGAGGGCACTTTAGCGTATGTTTTGGCTTCCAGGAGGGCACTTTAGCGCGCATTTTGGCTTCCAGAAGGGCACTTTAGCGCGTGTTTTGGCTCCCAGGAGGGCACTTTAGCGAGCATTTTGGCTTCCAGGAGGGCACTTTAGCGCGCATTTTGGCTCCCAGGAGGGCACTTTAGCGAGCGTTTTGGCTCCAAAGAGGGCACTTTTGCGCATGTTTTGGCTTCCAGGAGGGCACTTTAGCGTATGTTTTGGCTTCCAGGAGGGCAATTTAGCGTGCGTTTTGGCTTCCAGAAGGGCACTTTAGCGTGTGTTTTGGCTCCAAAGAGAGCACTTTAGCGCACATTTTGGCTCCCAGGAGGGCACTTTAGCGAGCGTTTTGGCTCCAAAGAGGGCACTTTAGCGCATATTTTGGCTTCCAGGAGGGCACTTTAGCGAGCATTTTGGCTTCCAGGAGGGCACTTCAGTGTGCGTTTTGGCTCCCAAGAGGGCACTTTAGCGAGCGTTTTTCAACAATTGGGCCCATGGCCCAAAGCCCATGAGGCCAGGTTTTGTAGTCCCTCTGTTCAGTTAGATTGTGTAGCCTCGAAAAATTATTTTTTTCTTTTTTTTATGCCAGCTTTTGAGATTTGAGTTTTGTGTTTTATTATATCACTTTGTTGGCTTGAATGGGCTTCATCGTTCAGCCCCACAGTTGATCCTGTTTCCTTTGGATACAAAGTCAACCATTTTTTCATGTTTACATCTTTTCTTGATAAATTCAGCTTGACGTATACATCAGTATAAAAACAGAGTAGTCATATTCACCACTGCTGCTCTAAGTTTCACTACTCAACAGAAATGCTGTTGTTACTATGCAGTGTTAAACTGCTAGAAACTTTGAATGGGAATCAGCATATGTGTGCAGAATCTGTTGGCAACAGGACAAGACATAGTATCAGAGGCATTCTGGTTTCCCTTTGTAATCCAAGTGAGGTAAACAGTCCTTGTGGAGAGGTGTAACATTTTGGCCAAAATGCAATCTTAGAATCCACCAGCTTTCGTCTGATGATGATTTATATTTATATTAGCTTTTTTTTTTTTTTTTTTTTTTTTTTTTTAAATTGCATTCTTATGCAAATATGCCTGAATATCTGCTTGCTACACCAGATCTCCTGAAACATTCCACCCAGAGGTTTTGTAATTGTCAGACTGATAGCTGATGGATTTAATTCCTATATTCTGGTAGGATTTTAATGTAAAAGATCTACAAGAAGAGTTTCATTGGTGGCAGCTACAGAAAGGACAGCAAAGTAAAACAACTGAAAGTAACTGGTGAGATAAAAATGGAAAACTAGACACTCAGAAGAAGTATTGTCATTTTTTCTTCAAGACCCTTTTTTCATTGAACAAATCAACCAAAATTCTCAAATATTAAATGTTGTCTAAATATCAGAAGCCGCACAGGGACTTTGACTAAATGAAAGAATTTTAAATTGACAAAATTTCGACTGAAATCCCAAACTATCACACCAGAGAATAAGAAAACAAGAATACTAGTCTAGTAGACATCCAATGCCAACTGTCTGTACTCACACTTTTTTTGGTCAGTACCAAAAATGTTCCAATGCCTGTCCCTAAAGGACTTCATGTCCTTTTGCATTTAATTCCTGGAAGCCTTTCTCTTGGACTGCTTTAATTTAGAGTTGCATTAACATTCAGGAGCAAACTTTGACACACTGTCTATGTTTTTGTTTGCTGTATAGATCTTAAATCTATACAGGCAACAAATAAAAACTAAGTCCACTAATCAGAAGAAAACATTGGCATTATTCGTTTCTGCCCACCGCACATACATTACATTTGTACATTTCACATGTATCACATCAATGTTTCTAAAGTGACGTAGTATATGAGCTGATTTTGTCATTGGAAGTTGGAGGGGATGGTAGACTGCGTGCCCCCTAGGCAAGATGTTCCAAGCTGCAGACCACTGTTCGAGGCCAACAAACAACAAAACTAGTTGTTTTTCGGCAAGTCACTGCTGCCTTTCCTGACAGGATAGTGCCATGAAAACTGGGTATTTTAAGCCAAAACATGATCTTTTCCTAACCATAACCAAGTGTTTTTTGTGGTTTTAAATCTAACCACACAGCTATCTCAAAACTGGACCAATCTCAAAAATTGTTGTTCCAATGAATCACTTCGATACAAAAGCAAGCGAAAATAGGGTCCAGGTTGAAAAATACAATTTTCTTTTCAAGGTATACTATGCAGGATTTTCCCTTAAAAAGTATAAAAGTAATCCCACTCAACCATCACCTACAGTACAGGCCAAAAGTTTGGACACACCTTCTCATTCAATGCGTTTTCTTTATTTTCATGACTATTTACATTGTAGATTCTCACTGAAGGCATCAAAACTATGAATGAACACATGTGGAGTTATGTACTTAACAAAAAAAGGTGAAATAACTGAAAACATGTTTTATATTCTAGTTTCTTCAAAATAGCCACCCTTTGCTCTGATTACTGCTTTGCACACTCTTGGCATTCTCTCCATGAGCTTCAAGAGGTAGTCACCTGAAATGGTTT